CACGAGTCTTTACGTGCGCATTATACGCGACGACTCATTGTGCGTGGACACTGATTTACTAAATTACATCAATTTTTTTAATGCAAAATTGAAATGTTTGGTACCTAATACCCATGCACGTTACAAAACCGAGTGATATTAATAAAACGGAGAGGGTAATATACGCCTTATTTTTCACATGGCATCCCTATCCCTGTGCATTGTAGGGGGCAAATTTGAAAACACAATTAGACTTAATACAGAGGTGATTGTTGGCGAGCGAGGGTCGCAGGCGAGGGGTTACGGCAAATCCTTTAATTTGGCTCCCCGATCAAATAATAAAGCGGACGGAGGGGCAGCAAACGGCGATATCGCGTTTAGTGGTTTTATTGCAAGCGCCATCTGCCGCGCGACGCACGCTGTAGATCCGGAGATAATTTCGCTTTTAAGCGAGGGGGCGAAGCGACGGAGCGTTCATTGTGAGTTGTTGCCTTCGTTTAGACAATTCACAAGGCTGTATCCGCGTGTAGATGTACGAGATAGCGCGCCATTGTGCGGGCCCCGTAACGACTACCTGCATGTCGATGTGAAGACTCAACACTTATAATTTGATAAGGAATATTGCACAGCCAAATGCGCTTATCCTGATATTATTTCGGAGCATTTCCATTGCCCTATTTTCCTATATATTTTTTTGTATTCGCGAATATTAATACTGCGGTTTCTGTAGTTGTCTTTTTCACTTCGTAAGCTCGGCTTTTGGCGGTAAATTTAATAATGTCACAGATTATATAAAAATATTATGCAGCCGTTTCGAAATAAGGATTTAAAGATTAGTAATCTTTTGCAATGTCGAACTAGGTGGCGTTGCCAAACTATATAATAAGAATATATGAATAATCACTAAATACTTGAAAACTGTTTCTTAAATGTCTATGTTTTATTTTACGTACTAGAAAAAAATCGCATCGAAATAGAACCTCTTTCTACTTTTTCTTTTGTGGTCGGTTGAAACTAGGATTTCAAAAGAATTAATTAAACATTCCAACGCAATACGAAACGCTATCTTAATACCTTACGTCACTTTTAATCCGCTAAAGGTAATGTTGATAATTAGTCCATAATTAATGTGGTAAGCATGTAAATCCTAATCAGTTCATTGAATTGATAACATAGTAGTAGGAAAAGACCGTATCGACATTTGTAAACAAAAAGCCGTAAACAAACAGTATTAAAAACGTTAGCCCCCGCTTGTTTCGTTATAAATAGTAGGTAAGCGGATTGAGCACGTGCAGCGTTTTTATCAATGAGAGCCAGAGGGTGTTGTGTGGACGCACCCTAATGCAAACCAAACAATCCCCCGCCTCGCACATGAATAATTTCACCATGTCGATGACACAGAACAAAAATAACAGACAGCCCACACTTTTTTTCATTTTAGACCTTGCTACTAATCTTTGTACCACGCAAGGGTTACCGAAGGCTTAAAATGAAGGAGCATCATTTATTCGAAGCTATCTCACATGGCCGTGCAATTATGTCGTTAATCTGTTTACGACCCTTCTGTAACGAACACTAGTCCCCTGTTTTGTGTCAGGGGCAAGGGACGGAATCGCAATAACCCGTAGATTATTAAATTATACGGACACGTACCTACTGGAAACTGTTCAAATGGATTTTTTTCCAATTAGATTTCGGATTTATTTGCTCGTTGATTTATGAAGAGATTTCGAAAAGTGTTTATTTTTTTATTAATTTATTTGTGATGAAATGATGGAACAATCATTTTGTTCTTTTATTAGCTTGGTATGTATGTTTGCTTGTATTAAAGTAATTTTCATGGACTCCAAGACTTCTGATCAACTTCATACCAATTATCGTATTTTTACGATATGGTATTGTCATTAAAATTATTTGAAATTTCGATCTAATCTCTGTACCGGTATCTAGAGATAAAATACATGAAATTAATTGTTGGTTCAATTTCAGCTTATAAACATTGAAAATATAGAGTATGTATTTTTAATTTCCTTTATATCTATTTACGAATGATTGTTTAGAATGTTTTTTTAAGGAAAACATCGCACCCATCTTTTGTTATAATTAGAACGCGTAAATGGGAAAATGTCGGCATTCAGAAATAACGCACGAAAAAATATTCCACTGCACAACTCGAGAGCTTCCGTTACTACAAAATTGTGATGGATGAATCGTATAGCGTAAAACGAACATTCAAACAAACATCAGAGCTATGACAGCGGCGCGAGGGAAACACGGTATCGATATTTAATAACAGACGAGCGTCGGGGAGGAGGCGCGTGCAACGGAGCGCGCCGCGGGGTGTTACACAAGTAAACCTCGGCAAAGTATTCCGATATCCCGCCGACACAGTTCGTTCCCTCGCAACACCCTCGTCTATTCTATACATTTCCACATTAATTTGTCACAAACGAATCCTTTGCTTTCAACATCGCAACTGCGTTTCGGTTTGAAGGGCGGGCCGGCCGTTGTAACTATACTTGAGACCTTAGAACTGATATCTCAAGGTGTGCGGTGCATTTACGTCGTAGATGTCTATGGGCTCCAGTAACCACTTAACACCAGGTAGCCTGTGAGCTCGTCCATCCATCTAAGCAATAAAAAAAAACAGTCAAAATCCTATAGTATCCATACATACCTTAGCCTTTTCCAATTTATTTTGAATACCGAACCAGTGGTACGTAATTAGCACAGAGCCTGCGTTCATTCATAGAAAGAAACCGTTGCGTTAATCGGCAGCGTGAAAGTCGGTTCAAGCGTGAATAATGGCTCGAAGCACAGAACAATAAGTCTCCGTGTCGATACAGGCACACAAAGACGAAACAATCAATTCACGGCATAAGTAGGTGCGATTCGGCACGGTCTCACTAAGCTACGGTCTGGCCCCGCGACTAACAAAAGAAAATCTAAGCAATTAGTCGTCGTCAGAAAGAGCGGAAAACGCGAGTTAGACGCGGTCACGGCAGCGAACGCGGCGCGGTCACGACGAGCCTACTCCCCGCGACTCTACATGCGTCATAATAGAGTCATTACGAGATAACCAGCACGAAACACATCTCGAATAAACATCGCCCAGACAGCGTTCAAGCACTACAAGTTCGATGTGATCGAACAAAAAACCCAATACTTCCATCCCATCAGAGGCTATGTAACAGAACTGACAATCGGAATTCATTTGAGCGTCATTTTATTTTATTGAGTGTTTAACCCTACCGAGCGTCGTGTGACGAGCAAGAACGAGCGAGACAACGAATAAAAAATGTAAAACATTCTATTACGGTCGGCAACGCTATAAAAGCTTAACAAAGTCCGAGGGGTACGTTTCGGTTCTCGCTCGACCGAGCGTGTTAAGTGCTAATGTAATAATCCATTACAATGAAGCGCGCCAGTGTACGCTAAATAGCGCATTCAAGCATTGAGCCGGTGGAGGCCGCCATCTGTCCGCCGCAGCACCAAACAATACAGCCCTTCTAATTTCCCCCTCGACCTGAGTTTGCCAGACCCTAAACAAATATTATATTACTCACTGCAGTTTGCTTTAACGTATTCTGAGGTCTCTCTCCTACACTTATTATTCAGTAAACATTGCGTTTGACATCAGATTTATTATGCTCGAAGTAAATGTTGGAATATTAAGTTGATATCAAAACAGGTACGTATTAATTCAGACCTCGAAATGTTACAGCAAAATACATTTGACATACCTATATGTAACTAGTAATTACAGACTTTGGTAGAATAGTAAATGCGATCACCTGTACCGTTAATTTTATTATTTCCAAGATGTTCATTGTAACGTGTGAAATAAATGAATGTTTTTATATTAAATGCAAGGATATTCAATTGATTTTGTTGGACATGTTACAGGCTATTATTAAAAAGCGGGGTTCGATTGTAGACAGGGCAGTGAGCGTAAAATCAACAGATTACCATGAAGCCCCCCGTGGATAGCCCCTCGGGCGCAAGGGACCCCTGGTGCACAGTATATATACTTATTTGTTAGGGTATCTATTGTTGGTCTCTGGTCAGGGTTGTCTACAAACAAGCGGGATTAGCAAGAGAATTTGAGTTTAGTTGAGCAACAAAATTGATCGATATTGCGACACAACTGATATTCAGACAAGAATACGTAAGAAATTCACATCACAAATCGATTTAAAAATCTACTATAGTTACGCATATTTCTGTAAACTTTCTCTAAGTAAATATGGGTAGATATTACAGTAGAAACTAGTGTAATAAATGTATTTGTCGGACTCCGCAAATGCCAACTCGAAATTTCAAAATATCGATTTAATTTAGGCACGGCTTATGACAACCCTAAACGTCCCCTTTGTAAATCCTGCTAAGCGTCTAATTCATGGATATTATATTTTCTCCGTTTTAGTTGAACTCATATTTAGGGGAAGCTCAGGCTCCCCTAGCACCACGGTTCCGCAGCCCCACGCAATATATCGATAATGTATGGAAATGAAAACCCGTCACAACATCAACTCAAACCGCACTCGGCAACCCTGATTATTTTTCAATATAATATTTAATATCCCAAAAGAATCTGTGTGATGAAAACCAAATTAACTTCGCAAGTTTTAAATGAAAAACCGTAATGTCAACAAAGCGGTTTGAACGGGTCGGGACGGCCCCCGCGCGCGTCGAACGTTTATCTAACAAACAGCCAGAAAGCAAAAATACATATTTATTATTTCATAGTAATAGGTGGAATTCTTCGGTCATCACTATTTACCTAAAATGTAGTAATTTTGTTACGAATTTCAATGTGATCACGCAGAAACGATTCACTATTTAAGTTTGGCTGAAAAATTGTAGTATTTTCTTTCATAAGCATATTTAAATCTTTGGGATGACGCCTTGTGACATTTGAAATTCCTTTTTGAGAACAAATATTCTTAAGCGAAAATAAAAAATAGGTTACAGATAACTAGTAATTACGTTAATTTATAAGTAGATGTCATAGTACATACCTGTTTGTGCATTTCCACGTTGAGTCCATACGACATTTCATAGTACTGAAACATAAAAATCATTTTAGTGTGATAAAAAAAATACATGTAGTAAAAATTTGACCAATCTGTGCGTATTTATTATATGTTGTCAGTCGACCTTAATTAAATTTCATTCCCCTTAATTTGTTATTAAAACTAAATATTGCCAACCTCCTAAAAAAACGAACTCAATTTTCGATATTCGCGTTTCAATGTAACAACGCTATATTTACTCTATATTACCAATCTGAGATAAATGATTGCTTTATTTTTAGAATTATTTAAAGCGTGTGCAGGTAATGTACCCTTGATGATTCATATTAAGACACATATAAATTTTCAATGGACACATATTAATTTAAAGTTTTCGGTCTATCTGTCAAAACATAACAAGTAGGTACATTGTGACGCAGAAAACGATTGCCAAGCATTAACTTTCTCAAATTATAGGAGTCGGGTGACTAAACATCCGCGGCAGCGCAGTTTGGACGCCGGCCAGAAGTGTTTCCGACACATAAAAATTCTCCCGAAAATTTTCTCTCGAGCGTATTTAAATAAATTGCGAGCGATTTGGCAACACTTAACCGTGATTTAAATCTGAATAGAGCGAACATTCGGGGATTAAGGCATGCCAAAATATCTGTCCGTTTCAAATATATTGTTTGTTAGTGTGCGGGAAGCTAATGTGTTTAGGCACGTGTATGTGCACCGCGATAACTGGTTTGATTGATTGGACATTGCGCAACAAAACCCGGACTTTCATTCAACATATACGCGAAGGTTACTACTCGAAAAGCGTGTTTATTAAAACAACATGACACAAAGCTAATGTTTCGAGTTCATTTTATCAGTGTAGTTAGTTATCTAAATAAAAGGGACCACTGAATCGAATGTCCGAATGCAATAGACGACATGCGGGCGCCGAACAAAAGAAACATATTTATTGATTTCACACGCCAACAAATGTTTAATGCGATAAACATCTCTATTTGTCCGTTGAATTAACAGTTGATTTTTTGTTTACGTTTTTATTTTATGATAGGAAACAATAATAGACTCCAGACACTCACCATTACATAATGCCTTTGTATTTCTATTTTTTCACTAGCCAGTTTCTCGCATTCTAATTTTAAACTGAAACAAAAACAACAATATAAAAATGATAACATCTAAATCCTTCAGTTTTTTTTTTTCATGGCAATGAATATTATAATCATAACGTAGATAGATAAATATCTAGAAGTAATATAAATGAGTTAATTAACTTGAATGATATAAAAGTGACTGTTAACGATTATTCAAAGAATTCATTATTGATATCTGTAATAATATAATAAAGTTGAAAGCTGCATAGGAGTCCGGTACACGAAAGTCTATTTATATGTTTAAGATAAGGAACTTTGTCTTTTTTTTTTTATTGCCTAGATGTGTGGACGAGCTCACAGCTCACCTGGTGTTAAGTGGTTACTGGAACCCATAGACATCTACAACGTAAATGCGCCACACACCTTGAGATATAAGTTCTAAGGTCTCAGTATAGTTACAACGGCTGCCCCACCCTTCAAACCGAAACGCATTACTGATTCATGGCAGAAATAGGCGGGGCGGTGGTACCTACCCGTGCGGACTCACAAGAGGTCCTACCACCAGTAAACGCCGTATCACAATGCCGTTTGTTTAATGTTTTTTTTATCTCGTATAATATTAGGTCAGACATATTATATTTATTGTTTTTATCGTAGCACCACCCGGCAGTTCAATTTCAATTCTAGATTACCTACAAGTAATGTACCTACAAGTTTAACGAGCGCATTGAAAGCCGAGTGATAAGAGGTTTACGATATCGTAATTCTGCCATAACTGGGTAATGGATACGAGCCAGTATCAATATAAAGGTTGTTCCAGTATGATTCTTAAAAAAATAAACGAATACCTTCATTGGCAGTTAAAAAATACAAACATGCAAATGATACATAAATAACATAAATCGGAATTGGAATATACATTTTTTTTTAATGTCAGCCTTTAAATAAAACGTTCTACTTTATAGAGATAAGATAACAATGGAGTGAGATGACAAAAAGGGCTGATAAAAAGGGCTCCGTCCTCAAAGGGACAGGTACGGTATGATGTCGCTGATTCCGGCGACAGACCGAAGCCCAGATGATCCATCTTTAGATCCTGTTGCTTGTACACAAGCATTTGATCTCGTGGGCTCTCTCGGATTATTTTCTTTGACTATTAAATGTATTGTATTTATTTTTTTGTTCGTTCACAATAAGCTCGTATCTGTAGTCAGTAGTTTATGAACGAGGGTGAATGCGGGTAGTTTGAAATACTTTTATTAGCAAGCTTTATATATTAATGTACTTACTTATGATATTGAGCTTGTAGAAAATTGAATTCCTCTTTAATCCTATCGCACGATTCACCCACTGTGAATTTGATCGGTTGCCCGGGTTGTGGTGGACCCTGTAATAAATGAAAAAGAAAAAATTAAAATTAAACAAATCGATTACAATGTTTTTTTTATAATTACGCAAGACCGAAGATCGGAAATAAAAAATCGACTGATATAAGTAATTCTCCACCATTACAAATTGTTTAGAAACGTTTATGGTAAACACGCGAACGATACAAATGTTAAACGCGCATCATACAAGCCATCAATCTCGGTCTCTGTACAAAAACGTTCCTATCACGAAACAAAAATTACACGCATCCCAAATTACCATAATACAAATTATCCTTTAATGACCATAATTCGGTGTGAGCCTCGATTAATGGAACAAAAAAAAAAAGAAAAAGAAAAATAACAACAACGCCGAGCGCTCGCCTCTTAACACAAAAATAAAGTAACGTGAACACGCGAGCATGTAATAATAAAGAAAAAAGAAGCAACAAAAAAAAAAAAAANAAAAGAAACAAAAAAAAAAAAACACGAACTCCATAATAAGAAGCACGAAAATAAAAATAAAGCGAGGGACACAACAACACACGGTCGCCGGGAGGCCGATGGCAAAAAATAAATAACCGCCGCTCGGAGCCGGCGCGATGAACAAACGGACTTTAAAAATAATAAAAGAAACGTAAATAAAAGCGTAAAAGGAACTGGCGCGGCGTGTAGACGTTGTAAATGGAGCTGCGGACAATCGGGACCGGAAAAAATGCGCCCGGGAATTTAGTGAATGTAACCACCGGGGAGATAGGCCTGCGGTCGCGGTCCGCGCCGCCGCCGCTCTCTCCGACTCTAATGGGCGATCGCACTTAATAACGTAATAGATACAGCATCGTGAATCCCGACCGCAACCTCGCATTCTAGACTCGGTTCGGTCTGCTTAATGCGAGTTTTTTAACGTACTCTATAGAGTAAAAGTTAGCTCATATTTGTATGGAATGGGATCGTTTGCCTACGTTTGCCGCTAGGGGTGCTGTTCCAACTGCATACAAAATTGAGCTAACTTTTACACTATCCAGAATGTTGAAAAACTCTCACTAAGTACAAAGAATTGTTTTCATTTTACTTTATTTTTTTTACTTCAAAAAAACGGACGCACTGTCACGTCATGATAAAATGTAACGTTCATATGAACTAGCCATCTCTACACAGCCAAGCCGTCGCCTAAACGATTTGACTCCAGATTTGCTCTAATATTTAAACCTGTTCCGCTATACTAAGTCGTCCCTATACATTAAACATCACACTTACAAACTGCTTTATTACGTCGACATAAATAATCCTAGCCCACGCAAATAAATATCCGCCATTGAATGAAATTGCCAATCGTTACTTATATATTTTAAAAGCAATAAAACACGACCGTGGGCTGAAAGCACTTTACTTCGAGATGTGTATTGACTCGGTCAATTACTTATTCGTGTTCGTTCGGTCTCGGAACGGAAAATAATAATAATAATAAAAAACGAATCGAAAGTTACGAGCTAACATAACGCATGTTCTCAGGGTAAGAGCAAAATGATATTGACAGTAGCATCCTAAAGGCGCGTCGAGACAACACGTGTGGCGTGCATCACAACGAATCGCACACTCCGGGAACGCTGCTTTGGTGTTTCTTTTTTTTTTAATTTATTTANTTCGGTCTCGGAACGGAAAATAATAATAATAATAAAAAACGAATCGAAAGTTACGAGCTAACATAACGCATGTTCTCAGGGTAAGAGCAAAATGATATTGACAGTAGCATCCTAAAGGCGCGTCGAGACAACACGTGTGGCGTGCATCACAACGAATCGCACACTCCGGGAACGCTGCTTTGGTGTTTCTTTTTTTTTTAATTTATTTAAGGCACAGACATTAATACTCTTAAAGCCTGAGCTATATAATCGGTCTGCCCAGTGTTGTCTTTATAAAACTAAATGGCTTTGTATTATTAATTATACGTTTTACGAACGACTTCTAATGCTCGTTGTTTTCACCGCAAATAAGACCGTCATCGATATATATCTTTACAGCGCTAATGGACAAGCATTTTATTACCGAAACCGAACTGCTATATCAGAATATTACGACTGGATTGTATTAAACGGCTTTTGTGTTATAAAATTGTTTAACATTCGAATCTTATCTAAATCGATACCGCAAAGTAATGGCCGTTCAATATTTTTTTTTGTAAATCATTAAGCGTTTACCGGGAAACAAAATTAATTACACGTTATCAATGGGAATATCAATGCTGTTTTATTAACAGTTTCGACTGATTAGAAAGTTGTTAGAGGCTCATTTAGTCACGGTCACTTGTTTTGTAAATAATTTTTTATTGCCTATTTTTTATTGACCACAAATTTTAATTCAAATAAAGCAATAACGTGTTAGTGTGCCGTGCTACTGGCTCCACGACGATTTCCCACGATAAAATACTTCCCTTCGATTTTTAATGGCCCAAAGATTATTCGAAAACTTTAAAAAGCTCACAAAAGAAATGAAGATAATCCTCGACAATAATAGACTGAGTAAATGGTCCCCCTCTAAATAAAAAAAAATCTCATAAATTATCACCGAAAAGGTCAAATTAAAATACAATGAGGAGTTTTTGAGTGGCAGTATTGTGTAGAGGGCCCGGATGAAAGACCCGCATCCAGCGACCAACGCTTATAAAAACAAAACTAAACAGAATGCGTTTAAACGGATATAAAAAGAAATACGTGTTCTTATTTCAAATTATTGAATACGTCTGTGTCTGCCCACGTCTACCTGCCGTACGATTCTGGAGTTTTTTTATTTCTTTTAGTTCGAATTCGAATTTTGAAATCACCGAATGAGTTCAACTTTTATTGGTGTATTATTGATAATCAACAATAATTTTCGAAACCTACAATTTTGAGGAAGTTCCGAAGAATTTTAAAAAGTGGATCGATGTCAACTGTTTATTAGTAATATTAGAAGGTTTCCCGCTCCGCAGAGTGCGTACACAAGTTCAGCGGCTCGGTAAACATCTAAACACCATTCGCACTTACAAACCAAACAAGCACAGACAAATATTTGAACATTGAGATTGGCTTTGTAACGTAACGCTGTACCGTCGAAGTGCCGCGAGCTAATATCATCTGTATTGTGTTCAGCGGAAGACGTAAAAAGGTGTGTTGTAAAAATCGACATATGGCGTTTAGGGACGGAAATACAAAAAAAAAATATGCTAGTAAACTAATATGGTAGCGCTGGGATCGGAAAGCTGATTTTATTTTCTTAGAAACACAAGACGGTTAGCCGACGAATGTATACGGTGTGGCTAATGGTGAGTTGTTTGATATCGATGGTTCCGAGAATAGAGGTCTAATTAAGCGTCGCTGCAACTGGACAGCGTAATGTGGCTTCGGGAATTAATGTGTTGGCTTTATAGCGCAATCTAAAGTTGTGGTGATTAGTTTTTAATTGCAACCCGTCAAGTGTCCGACGTGCGGTTTTAATATTGACGGACATTAAGGCGAAGTTTTATTTTCATTACATTTTAAAGGCAAAAATTTAAACCGAAATTTGTTCGCTATTTAAAATACAAACTTTTAGCGCAAATTGTGTGAACACGTGGAAGAACTATTTGAGAGCCCATACGAGGCTCTTAACAAATGCTCCGTTTGATGGAGACTTGATTATGAGAAGGCATTGTTTGCGTACTCCAAATGCCGTGTTTGTACAGATAACGTTATCTACGAATGTTGGGAATTATTTTTGGTGAGCATTGACTCAAGGCACTCCAGTTATCAGCTTTGATAATCCTAACTCACGTTTCCGCTGACAAGTCTCGTACAATGGCTCCACAATCGGCAATGACACAGATTTTTAATGTGACAACTGTTGTTTTATAGCCGCGATTCGAATTAATTTTAATCATATTTGAAGATTACGTTGTCTAAATAAATGTTGAAGTCACGACAGACACACTCGTATGTTCCGATTTTGTGTTAACAATGTTAACATTTATAAATGTTTTGGAAAAACAAACACGAGGTTGGTCACACAAAAAAGGAAAACTCATATTTTTGAAAAAAAAAGTCATCTCATTTGCTCGTAGCGGTAATTTTGTCAGTCAAATATTGACCGAGTAGGACGCGACACGGATTTTGAACAAATAGACAAATAGGCATTAGCACTCACCACCCCCCTCTCCGACCCCGCCCCCGCACACCACCTCATAAACTCATAAAACACGAGTGACGGATCGGCAAAGAAAATTCTCGGTCTTCACGTTAAGAACATTTCAACAAAGATAAAAGATTACTTAATTATGTTTGATAATTGTAAATATGTAACTCGGTTCGTTTGCGTGATACCAAAATTGACACAGAGATCTAGTAAGAGAAATATCGTGATAAGAAATGTCCTACATGCGTTTCAAAATGTAATTATTTTCTATGTAGGTACGTATAAGAAGCGCACACTATCATATACACATACTATCACATATCTACAGACAAAATATTTTTAAATTCTCGTCACGAGAAGCGTTTTACAAGTTAAATTCGGTTTACAAAATGAATTCCTGCGCTGAACTTTAAACAGCTATAACACAATGCTAAAAGGCGTTTCTTTGAACCGAATTGAATTCATTATCACGCGACCGGTGTCGCGTTACTTCCTCTTTTGCAATCCTGGCCAGTTTCACCAGGCCCCCAGAAACGTTCTTACGAATGAAAATCAAAGAAGGGGGGAGTTCATTAAACGATTGTCACGTGTGAATTAATGTGACATACACGCATGATACTATGTGGGAATTATTTTATTCGAATGATGCATTTTCGGTCTTGGCTTAAAGTACAATGTATGTACGTCAGTGGTCTAGCTTAAGTAATGGAGTGACAAGCGAACACGTGACTAATAAATATAGTTTCATACGTTCTTTATTGTTTGGTTTTTATTATTTGCGGAACCTAGTTTTTATGGGCACTTGGCCGTGACAAAAGACGCAATAAAACGTATCTACTTAGATTCAGTAATGAAGTCTTCTCTATTTCATTTGTCTTGTTTTCCTTCTCGGTTTCGCTGCCAACTTTTACATTATGTCCGTGTAATAAATAAAATATCTATTAGCGACGCATATTTTATTGTCCGTTTAATTAATCAAAACGATAATTTCAGTTGCTTTTCATTGTCATGGATTCGGAAATACGTAATGGATTCGAATGTGTTTTGTTTCTCTGTTTTCATTTTTAATTGTCTCATGAAATGAGTTTATTGGTTTAATTCAGCTACAGACGTATACAATTGGGTGCTACAAAATATGATCTAAACATAACTACTTTAATGATAATCACTGATTATATAATAGCTAACAACAGGTATGGGCTGCGGTTTCAATGAAGCTTAATACGTAAGTCTAAAATATGGTCTTAATCTCATTTGATATGGCATTTATTTTAATCATTCTATTGTTTTGGTGGTTACGAAAAACTCAAGTCGTCTGAAATAACACAATGAAAACCATGAGATTAAATCGTAATAGTAATTTTTATTATTTGTACGATTCGCGAGAACCGGAGAAACTTCTAAATTGACTAAGATAAATAGGAGCTTATCATTCTCCGCCCATAAACATTTGCAAAAAAAACAAAAACTCACGTCAAGGACGAACAAACATGCCAACTGACGCTTTTATATAATGATCTGTATCTCAATAACATTCTCGTATCAAAGCGGATTCGTTCTGACATTACACAAAGACTTTATTCCCGAACACTTTGTTTAGTTTTATTAGGTAGGTATATATATAAAAAAATGTTAATTACGTTATCCATATGCGGTGTACGGCTTCACAAACGATTGTCAGTCACGACGAGCGCTTACAAACCACACTATAATTTGAAATAAGCATTGAAATGGATTCTTGTATCGCGGTGGGTTTTCCGAATGCGCACAGGGACAGAGGCGACGCGGTTCGCAGGCACGACTTAGCCTCGCCTCCACTCAAATTGTTCTTTATGTCATCCGCTGCGACTTACGGAGTGATTATTAACAAGTGAGGCCTATAAAATCAAAGGCAGCTGAACTTCTTAATGTCGTAAAATGGATAAACAATGGCGCTATCTTGTTTAGTTAGTTGGACACGCTTTAGTGTTTTCATGTTATAACAAATGCAGCTAAATCTCTGACAAATTCAATTCAAAATTTTTATTTTTACTCTGTACTCAAATATAAACGAAGTTTTATCATTTAAAATTCAGATTATTAGTAATATTCTCATTCTTTATAAATCTGCTTTAAAATAAAGAATATCGTAGCTACCCGAACAAAGTAATTTCAGCTTCTCAAACCGGGAGTGTTGCTAACACTGGCCCTAGCAAGAGCAGTAAGTACATCGATGGATCGGGAGGATCCGTAATGACGTATTTAGAGCCGATTTTTGTAGTTTACCTTAATATTTGACAGACTTGGATTTAGCTGCCTTTGATTTTATAGGCCTCAAATATAGATACTATTGTAGTGCGTCTGTGGATAAATCACTGTTTTAAAAACGACAAAACCAATTTTAGTGATAACTGTAAACTGATTAATATTGTGATTAAAACTTAAAGTCTGTTTTATTACACAACAGTAATGGTTACCGGGGATTTTAAATCTACACGATTAAGTGCAGGAGGTCAACTAGCATTTCAAAGACGGTCATAAATATTTTGTTCAAATTTGAAAGCGGTTTGAGCTGTAGCGCGCACACCTGGTGGCTTCGTTTTTGAGAAAACGGTCCGTCTGATTTGGTTGTCCGATAGAATCCTTTACAGACAATTTCACGGGTAATCGAGTGTCAGACAATGGTCGCCAGTCGGTCGCAGCGGGGAGCGCACAGCCCTCGCCTATTTGCCTGTTCCATTCAACTGCTTATTATTACTTTTACGCTTTTATTACCACTCCAAGATTCACTTTGTACCTTTCAACGATGTTATTAAGTCGCAAATATATTTTTTTTTAACAAAACGGTATCTCAAACACAAACGACATATCACTCGTTCGGAAACAGTGATTTAAATGATACGTTATTTATGTAAACGGATGCAGAAAAGACATCAACGCGCATTTACGAGCAGAATGTTTTATGCACGTGAAAATCTTTACATTAACATGTCAATTAAAAATTTCCGTGAAATTAATTCCAGTTTTGTTGTGTACATCTTGCATGCACCGGTAGGTCGATGCGTGAAATTTGAATAATATTAACGTTACAGTGACGTTTCGTGTTAGAAAGCGCTTTCACTGGAATTGTGAGACTCTCGCTCGTTCGTCAGTCATAAAGACGTCAGTCGAAGAGATGATAATCGGGAGTGATTTATGCGATGCGAGTGTCGCTCACCGGATGCCTGGCGGCCGCCACGGCTGCGGCGGCGGCGGCGGCGTTCATAGCGCCCGCACTCGGATACATCCCAGCGTCAAACACTAACGGTCATGGTCTACACTGAACGAATATAGGGCACAGCACACACTGCACAAGATCCACAGAACAACACTCCACGCGGTCGGTCGCACGCGGGTCTCCGTCACAGCGTCAGGCGGCGCACGTGTTGACTGCGCGAAGGCTGCGAGCGGACTGGCGCGCGGGGCGCCCCCACCCCACCGTCGGACCCCATCATCCGACCCTCGCATGCCGATTGCCGCTGCCGTACATATTTTCTCCACTCGAATTTTTCGTCGACTATCTTCATGTTTGAGGAATACTTTAGTCGAATCGGAGATATACGCTCTAATAGATACGTATTATCTGGGGATTTTCTGGGAGGGCGGAGGGTGTCGGTGTTTGGTCGCCTGAGTTATTTCGTTCTGTTTGCTTTGGCAAGTGATATGCAATTTTAATAAGTCTCTGTTTGTGTGTGTTTGATGTTATATCAGCAATCTAAATTGTTATAATCGTGTTTTAATTGGTATTTTTGCGAACAACTAGATGGGTTTGAGTGCAATGAAGTAAGAGAAGGTCTCCGGTAACAGATTAAAATATTAACGCGGTCAGTTTAATTCGGTAATCCGGAGCGAACGGATCACCAGTGATCGGGTTATCGGTCTTGATAGATGCAGCGGAGTTGAATACCGGCGGGACTGAGCTAAAACCTCACACACATTAAGCATTAACGTTATTCAATTATTATTTATTAGTTTACTTTGAACGTATTGAGTGCCTGCGATTATGCTTCAAGTACCACCTTCATTAACTACGTACGCTGCGAACACAAATCTGAAGAGTTTTAAATATCCACTCGTTGACTGTAATACACGAGCGATTGTAATTTGATGACGTAATAACAAACTTATTCGGTAAATACAAGCGTGCAATTATGTTTTAGAATTTGAATCAACAAAATAGAGTTAATTAATTTTTCTTGTACAGACTTGAACCGCGACCTACCTACGTTGAATTTGGAATAAATGCTTTTGAATTTTCTAATTTATACGTTTTATTATGTGGGATCGGATTTATCTTGTAGTTTTGGTGCATTTGTATACCTATATTTTGTCGATGGTGGAGAAAGACCTACCCAGCAGTGGTCATCTGTAGAATGATGAAGATGATTTTTTGTGTTTTCTTTTATTGCCCTTGTAGGCAGACGAGCATACGGCCCACCTGATGGTGAGTGGTTAGCGGCGCCCATGGACTTCAGCAATGCCAGGGGCAGAGCCAAGCCGCTGCCTACAAATACTGTACTGCCTACTGTTTCGGTATTTATTTTTGAAATCTCTATCTGCAGTCGTTAAAGCGATAGCATCCGTCAGCTTGAAGTTAGATTAATTTAAAAAACAATTGCTTAAATCAAAATAGACATATTGATTTTGCGTGATTCAACAAATACGTAATCAGAAATACCAAAAAATAATAATTTGGGTCAGGTATGTCTGAACATCATAACTTTTATGTATTTAAATATTTTCCATTTATGTATGTATAGGCCTTTGTTTTTACCTAATATTTCACACCAAAACATTTATACTTATTAACGAATATTGGTACCAAAGTAGATACTTGCCTACACTATACTGAGAGATAATTATTCTTACGCAAACTATTTATTGCTATTTGTATATTTAAGACGATAAATTCAAGCGTAGAGCAATAGTAACCCTAATTTGCAATCACAGTTCTATTACGCGACTAGGTACTCTGGGTCTGCGGAGGGACTTCGGGTCCCTCTGTATTTTGTACCGCATGTCCCTTGGGAATGCTCTGAGGAATTGTTCGAGATGATACCAACGTCTCGTTTTTACCATCGCACCGCCCGCCACCGGAGTAGAGTTCATCCATACTACCTGGAGGCACTGCGGTCATCCACAGTGCGTTTCCAGAGGTCTTTTTTGCCACGTACCATCCGGCTATGGAATGAGCTCCCCTCCACGGTGTTTCCCGAACGCTATGACATGTCCTTCTTCAAACGAGGCTTGTGGAAAGTATTAAGCAGTAGGCAGCGGCTTGGCTCTGCTCCTGGCATTGCTGAAGTCCATGGGCGACGGTAACCACTTACCATCGGGTGGGCCGTGCGCTCGTCTGCCTACAAAGGCAATAAAAAAAAAAAAAGGTACCAACATAAAATAATTTCGTTTGTTAATAAATTGTTCAACTATAAATTGAGATTCACCATTTTATAGTCATTAGTTAAAAAGGCATTAACTCGAGATTGGAGTGCATTCGATTATTTGTATTTACGATCACCGTTATTGGGATTTAAGAGCTATTTCATTTTATCACGTTTAGTCCGATGTTAAACGTTTTTGATTTGAAAACGGAAATGTAAAAATTTATGATGAACTGGTGATACTTAATTTACGTGTAGTGGGACCTCTTGTGAGTCCGTACGGGTAGGTAAACCTCAAAAGCTACAGAAGTGCGATTACGAAGCTATCGTAAAATTCAGTGAACTTAATATCCGGTTCGATGACGTCACATCTGAAGGAACTTTAGGGCGTGAATATGGTTATCAGATATAAATGTCGGTGTCAATGACCCCGCCTTCACCACGCACTATTTACATAAAACGACGTAAACACATAGGTACTACGTGATATAAGTATATTTATTAATCACTGGTGTCTGGGTATGGGATGCCCGCACGGGTTCGTCTCACCAGCCTGTCTATATGTGCTTCCAAAAACCAGTTCGTTCCGGTTTGGAGTGTGGGAGAGTGGTCGTGTTTAACAATTCAGACTTAGACAGTTTCAAGGTGGGCAGTATTTACGCTGTGATGTCTATAGCCTCTGCAATGTTAGGAACAGTGTGCTTAGTGAGAGTCTTTTAACGTTCTCGATAGCGTAAAAGTTAACACAAATTTGTACGCAGTTTGAACAGCGCCCCTAGCGGCAAACGCAGCCAAAGGTTCCAACTCCATACGAATTTGAGTTAACTTTTACGCTATCGACAACGTTCGAAAACTCGCACTAAGCACACAGAAAAGTGTGACAAACAGATGTCCGTATGTGTCATTTTGTAATTGTTAGTTTTTTTTTGTTCTAAATATATGTATAATATGGTTTTCTGTTATATATTCATGAATATATCTTTCGTAATAGCCGTTCGTGTAGGAATTCAAATATTTTATCAGAAATATCGGTACATCTCAGAGAATTTGAATCGGCATACTTTAAAACGAATACAGCGGCCGTCTTAACCATTAGATTTTAGTCGATTTCTCACACACCCGATACCAGAAAATCTAAAAAGGAAATTTTCGGTGTTTCGAAGCATTGGAGGTATTTCAATATAGGTAATTTTTAAATTCGGCATCTATTCTCAAATACAGATTAAAAAATACTGCACAAAAAATGACCTTAGACTGTCAAGTCCAATATTCCTTCTTTTTGAAATTTAAAAAAATATGTAAATACGGCAATTAGTCTAAAAAGCTTTTTTTTGAGCTGTAAGAATCTGTTCATCTGTTCAAAGTACCGAAAATACTAATGACTAATTAATTACGTTTAAAATGTTGATTCACCTAAAAATATGATCTGCCAATAACAGCATTTAAAATTTGGACGTTGCTTATTTTTTTGTTTTTGTTTAAATCGCCTCAAAAAAAAAAGCTTGCCCACATAAACACGGCTTGTACCAATAACTTTATTACCTGGGCAGGTTTCTTTACGCGCGTACAGATATGAGAGTGATCAGTACGAGTATCTAATTACTTATGAAGTGCCAGTACTCCACGTTCATCCCACCCCACCATTAAATAGCTCACGAATCGTTTGTAATTTAAGAACGTAACGAACGACGTCCACGTCGACAACCTCGGGTCGACATACTGACTTGTTTATTCATTGGAATGTAACACGAGGAACATTGTTTATCTGATTATGTAAGTTGTGTTTTATTGTTGTCAGATGTTACGTGAAATTTGAAATCTCGAGACGCGAGTCCGGGTGTCTCGTCTTATACCTTTAAACGAGCAATTCTTGGATATTGTAATAAAATTTAGTTTTTAATTACAGGGGGTTTCGGGGGCGATAAATCGATCTAACTACGATTTATTTTCAGAAAATGTTGTTTTATTCGTGTTTTCAATAATCAACTCTTCCCGACATCTATTGGCGAATAATAATACTATTTTTCTTAATTGAGGGCAACTAACCGCTTTAAAGACACAACAAGATGGCGTTATAAAAAAAAAAACGAGCAAAGCTCGATCATCATCTAGTTCGCATTGAAACACGGCCAATCATTCGGACAGGAAGCGCGATTGCTTTCCAGCAGAAATTCTCATTGATCTATATAAAAACGACAAAGGGAAGGTTGCTCGGCTGCCTGACGGTCCGAATTCTGTTGTTTGGAACTTTATGGTATATTCATATGCGAGCTTATTTTGATAATATCGTCAGCGCGATTCAGGATTTTCAAATTACTTCTATTCTACATATTCTTTTTTTAATTTTTATTGCATTACAACGGCTGCCGCACCCTTCAAACCGAAACGTATTACTGCTTCACGGCAGAAATAGGCAGGGTGGTAGTACCTACCTATCCGTGCGGACTCACAAGAGGTCCTACCACCAGTAATTACGTAAATTTTTGAAATTGATTTTATTACACGATGTTATTCCTTTACCGTGGAAGTCAATCATAAACATTTGTCAAGTAGGTACGTATTTCATTAGAAAAATTGGTACCCTACCCCGCCTGCGGGATTCGTACACCGATTGATTGATCGCTACATACGAGTGTACCAGACGTCTTATGCTTTAGGCTACGACGACTTAAAATTCTATGATCTTTCTTTCTTAAGACCTTTCTATGATAGGTGTAGCAAAATCTTTAAACTTCCTTGTTTTGCTTCATTGATTATGTGAAAGCTCATTTTAGGAGTTCATCGTCCGAAAAATGTTTCCTAACTTTTAGCAAGGGTAAAATTAATAAGTGCCGTACTTAACGGCTCGACATACGACCATAACAATTCAACGGCTTACATTGATTTTACATACATATTCCTTCTTTGGTTTTCCTCATTGACATACATATTTTCTTAGGGTAAGAACAAATATTGTTTATAATCATATTTTTATTAATAACAATGAAGCTCGTAAATAGGCAATAAACAAAAAAGCCGTTAATCAAACAGAAGAGAAATACCCCTGAACT